CCGCACTTGCACAGCCCGACCGAGGAGGGGGAGGGGGTGCAGACGTATCTACCGGTGCCACAAGCACCCTCGAAGACTCTGCATCCGCCCTCAGCTCTCGGGGCCGGGCGCCGCCTCCTCCTCGTGACACGACCCCAGGCCCCACGCCCGTGTCGGGGAGGGACGCGGGGCCACCGGGCAGCGCCCAGGAGCGAGGCCGCTCTTCCCTACGGGCACCAGCTCCGCAGCAGCCACCGCCCCCTCCCCAGTGCGCATGCGTGCAGTGGGGCGGGGGGCACACGAGCCAGCGGACACGCATGACGAGTTCCCCCCCGCCGGCACCTGGCGCTCCCGCTTGGCCGACGGCTCCTCCTTGACCTGGGTGACGAAGAGGCAGGGCACCTTCCGCTGCACCGCGCCCAGGCGGCTCATGGCCGCGACTCCCCGCTCCCGCAGCGCCCGAGCCCGCACCCGCGCGCGGTGTGCTGGGAAATGGAGTCCGGCGGGGCGGAGCCTGAGGGGCTCCCGCCTCCCGCCCCGCCCCCACTGAGCCAGTCGGGGGATGTTGCGGCCGTGCTCTCAGGTGCCCCGAGATGGGCTCCCCGCTTCTAGTGGCAATGGTTACCGGCAGGCATCCTTGCGCATTGCTCACCACTTTTTCCACGTGGGTGCATAGATATAGACATAGATATAGATATAGATATGCTCCCTACGTGCTGCCAACTCATCACCTGGTCCATGACCCTCTCCAGTGTCGTCATGGCCCTCCTTGCTTCCAGAACAAAACAAGGGGCCTCATCAAAATGAGGCTTTTTTAGGGAAGGAGTTGTAAAAGGCAGCGTCCTAAGTCCCCGTCATGCAAAAAAGATTCATGGTTTCATACAGAAAACGAACTCTCGGTTCCAAAAGGATACCTTTTAGGAGACCAACCGGGAAATCCCAAGAAAAATTGTCCTTCTCTGCAAGCTTTCAGGATCAAAGTCCTTTCGTCAGGCTCTGGGAAAAGAATAGAGGGTACAGGATGGTGAAAAATCCCTGTAGGTAGGAAATAAACTTCATTTTTCTACAGAGGGAGCTGAAGATGGAAGGCTGTCTCCCTCTGGGTCCATGAGAGTGTCTTTGTGAGCGGGGCTGAGTAGCTCTTTGATGTGTAGATCAGGTAGTATTCCTTCCCTGGAGGTGTCATAGATTCATAGACATTAGGGCTGGAAGGGACCTCACAAGATCAGCAGGTCCAGCCCCCTGCCCAAGGGGCAGGAAATCAGCTGGAGTCAAAGGATCCCAGCAGGTTAGGCATCCAAATGTTCCTTAAAAGTGGTCAGACTAAGTGCTTGCACCACATCTGGGGCAGTGTTCCCTAAGCTGTATGATGCGTGCAGGCATATGGCAGCATGGCATGAGCGTGCCTGTGCAGCCACGCATGTCACACAGCTTAGAGGGAATGCTGCTCAGGGGGGAGTCTCTTCCAGGCCTTGGGGGCTCAGACAGTAAAGAAGTTTTTCCTTATGCCCAGCCTAAAACGGTAGGAGGCTGTCTAACTGCCAGGTGCACTTAGGTAGCAGAGCTTGCTTTGTGTCTCACTCCCTGGCAGGGTGGGCACTCTCATGCGGGCCCAGTGCCTGCCGTTCATTCATGCCAAAACCCCAGTGGGTTCCCATTGACATCTAGAGAGGGGAAAGCATTTTGGAAGGCCCAGGGTCTTCCTGAGACCTGTGCAACAAGAATGCAGGGGGAACCCCCCTAGTCAAAAAGAATCAGAGGAAGCGCAGAGTTGGCATTTTCCAAGCGTCTGTTGAGTGTAGCAAGGGTTGCCGCGCTTTGCGTCTAACAAGGGGTGCCTTGAGTCTAAAAGGCTGATTTTCACAGGCCTTGATGTCAAAAAGCACAAAGGAATTCCTTTCACTTGAAGTTCCTGACAAAATAAAACATGCCTCGGTGCTAAGATGGATTAAACCCTTATTTGCATCCTGATTTGACCTGATCATTACTGGGCAAGTTGTCAAGGATCTGGGTAAAGAGGGTAAATTATTAATCTCCCTGCATGATCTCAGGTGGAGTCCAATACTTTTTTGCAGAAGTAGAAATGATGGGAACAAGAAAAAGCAATCCTCAGCCAACAGGTTAGTGGCTAGAAGCTGCAAGGATTTTTACTTAAAGAGGAAAATGCCTGTCCCCCCTCAAAACATTCAGCATGGAGAAAGGAATTCAGTTAAAAATGTGACAAAATAAGAGACATAGCTTTGTGTCCTGATGCCTTTCAGGACTATTGTTCTTTCATCAAACAGTTGTTTCAACGTGCTACGTTAACTTGTTTCCCATTCTCTGTTATGTCAGAGAAAACACCAGTGTAACGGACTAGTTGGAATTACTTTATTTTCTCTATTTTATGCAAGGGCAATGAAAGTAAGTGAGCAGTCAGAATCTGAAGGGTCAGGTGATCTCATTTGTGGTGATGTCATAAGAACTATTGTAACAATGGGAGAGATTCTGGAAGTTTGAATCTGTGCACTGACTAGCAACCATTTTCAGTGTTTCAACGCTTGAGCAAACCTGGAGAAGGTACCGTCTGATTTATAAATTAGTTTAAGTATAATTTTGAGACACACCAGCAATTATTATTATTTTAAAAGGAAATATCCTTAGATCCTGAAAACCACTGTTTTCAGAAAAAGGAGTTTTCTTTCCATTCTCATTGATGGTTCTTACTTTTACGATTATACACTATTCATATAAAGACAGTGGAATACAAGCACAAAACGTGAAAATGGCAGAAGTTGGAAATGACTGCTATTTCTATTTTTATTCCACCTGCATAAAGGTAAATATTGCAAAATTTACAGTGGTTTCCATCCTTGATTGTAAGGATGAGTTTATAGTATAAATTATGACCTTTTTCATATACCAATGTGTATAACTTGTGCATGTGTCCATATAGGTATATTTGATGTACAGACAGAAACTGATTGTCAGAGATGTTGGGAACTAGTCTCTGCCATGAACTTCAAACCTTGAGCTCATTATGTCTCACCTTATATCATTAACTCATTGAGTTAAATTAATAAATAACATGCACCTCTTTTGTAGAGTGCATTTTTGTAAATGCTACCTGAAGACTATTCCTCATGGGTGTTTTAATTAAAACAACACTTACACAACCCAAAGGAAACAACATTTATAAACTTATTAGGTAAAGGGCATTTTGTCTGGTTTTAATAAACCAGCTACTTGTGTCTTTCTGCCTCACTCATTTCTTGAAATGACAACATTGTAGATGCTATTACCCATTGAAGAATTATGTGTAAGAATGACTATGGGAAAGTCAAAGGAGTGGTAAGGGGTTTATGCTATGCATCTGTTTGCAATGTTAGAGCCTTACTGAGTGATTAAGTATCCTTCTCTCCCTAATAAGTTACCAGCAGTAGTGATTTTATTCCAAAAGTAATACCTTGTAGAAACAGCACTCATGGGTCTGTTTATAATTACCTGGTGCTGGTTGGGGGAAAAAAAATCTTTTATATACTATAAAACTTGAGATTTCAGAAAAATTCTTATTCTGCATTGAAGGAAAACATGGGATTTTCTTAATGAAAAATCTGAGGTTAAACTGCTTTAGAATAGCCAATAGCCTGGTTGCTTACCTGGTATTTGAGAAACCATTGATCAAGCCTCTGCTGTGCCTAACTCACTCATATCTTGAACTTGAGTCTTCTTCATTCTCAGGTGAGTGTCATCTGCAGTGGACTATTAACTATTCTAGTAGATATTCTTTTTTTATTTTGACCAGTAATTCTGTTTTGTAGCTAAGAAGCCTTTCTTGCTGAATTGATATTTTCCAATGAAAAATCTTGTGCCAGTAATTCTCAAACATCTCTATTTTTGTGCTCTGGAAGTTTTTGTGGACGAAAGCTAGCTGACACAAGTGACTCTTCATCTGTAGTGAAAATACGTTTAGAGCGGGGTTGTGAAACTCACATGGGCCCCTGAGCTAGGTCCAGTCCTGGTGGTGGCTGTAGGGTGAATGTCAGCAGCGCAGGGACTAACACATCTTTCCTACTGCTGACATATATCTCCAATGGGCCTCCATAGCAGAGAATTCAGCAGCAGGCCTCGCCTCTGCACACCCTACCTCTGAATCCCAGCCACTCTGGAAGCCCTGTGGGCTGGGTAAAATGGCTACACAGGAGGTATTCAGCCTCAATCTTTATTACCCTGACCTAAAGTAATGCATGTTATGGTGAACCACTCAGAACCAGAGTTGCCCAAATGAATGGAATTAAAAAAAGCAAACAAAATTAAAAGCCTGGAATCATTAATTTTTAGGAAAAGATTAAGGACAGGATTCTCCATGTTCTAAATTAATTTTGTGCTGTTTAATATCAGCTACCCTCCCCCTACCTACCTCCCCTGCAACATTCCCACTGCAAAGGGGGAAGAAACAAATATATCCGCAGTTGACTTGGGGATAGGGTGTGGGGAGTGGGGATATAGTTAAACTGAATTACTTTGTGCTTGCTTTCATAAACCCTATTATGGAGTTTATATCAGTGACAATATTAGAGCATGACACCTACCACTTGCTCTTCCTCTGTGAGTCAGAGGCTGGGGTACAGGAAGCTGCAGCCATCTCCTTATGGATTATATATCAGCCCCTACAACCTTCATCTGTGTAGCTCTTACACAGTGGTGAACAGGGACATGAATAAAAATCTATATGGCTTTGTTGCATGATTATTAAGGGAGAGTTCTGATGACATTTGCAAGAATCTCAAGTATGTAGAAACAATGAGGAGGGAGAAAAACTATTTCAAGATCTCTAACAGGATATCAATAGGAATAATAAGATAAAACTGGACAAGAGAAAAATTTGGTTGAATATAAAGAAAACAGTACTATCCAGTAGATTATAGAATAGCCTTCCAAAATTGTAACCCGATCTTTTGAGTTACTTCACATTAAACTGGGCAGAACAATTATCATATAGGCCTGAAATTTCTTCCATTTGTGGTACCATTTATTAGTTGCTTGAGACCAATGGGCTCATTTCTGCCCTCATTTGCACAATTGTGATTCCCATTGACTTGGGTTTTACATCTGTGTAGTTAAGTACAGAATTGAGCCTTGTGTAACTTTACTAATGTCAGTGAATCAGGTCCTAAATCTTTTCCATAATTTACAGGTGTTTCAGAGAACAATAATGGTGTGCTACACGGACCAGGGTATGCTCTACTTTCTCATTAATACAAACAATTTTAATAAGAGAATCACAAATAAAGCAACTGCTGATGCAAGTGGATGATACGGTTTTTAGAATCATCTCTATTACCTTTCAGGGTTCAAAGTGCCACTTCCGTCATTGTGAAAAAGCCCTTGGTAGTGATACTGTCTGTTCATTATGGAGAGAGGGAAGATGTTCACATCAACTTTGTGGATTTAGACATATGGAAATAAAGGTAAAATGTTGGAAGTTCTAAAGTACATACTCTTAAGGGAAAGTGGCTTTCACCTCTGCTAACCTCCCATCTAGCACCAAGATCAAACAGAAATTATTCTGGCAACCAGATGAAAGATGTTGTGTGTGTATATGGTTGTTTGTTTTTAAAGTACTGCATGCTTTAAAACCTATATATACTTAGGCTTGGCAGGATTTGATTTTTATTGATAGATATCAATAAACATTAATTTCACCTGACATTCACAGACCAACAGAAAATAATTCCATTGTTAATTGGTAATCATCACATTTTACATAAAAGAGAAATTTAAAAAAATCTGTGATGGAAGTAAGGAAATTTGGGGCAGGGGGCACTGTGTGTGAGAATATTCCACTGCAGGAGCTAGGGGCCCTGCCAGTAAGGCTGTGGTAGGAGAAGGGGTTGGAAGGGCAGAGCTGGTAGCAGCTAGGAACTCAGTACTGCCAGCCACTTGCTGTGCCCAAGTCCCAGCTGAGGCAGGAACCAAACTCCCACAGAGCTTAGCCCCTGAGTAATCAGGGCAGGGGCCAAAAAACTGGGCTAGGGACAGACATTACACATAAACAGGTTTAAGTGATCAGAAACTGGTTTAAACCTGTAACCAGAACAGAAGTTCAGTGCACATAAACCAGTTTGAAAATGGCTGAAACCAGTTTAAGATAATCCTGGTTGAATGTAGTATCAGACTTAACTGATTTGTGTCAAACCAGTTTATGCAGTGTCTATCCCAGATGCCTTCCTGATTTAAATTAAATCAGAGACCCCCAGAATCCCAGATGTTTTGCTGGGCAGCGCTCTGCTCTCTGCTCCAGCCCAGCTGAGCTGGCTTCTCCCTTGCTGGAGTTCTGGCAGAGACTGCAGACACAGCAGGGTCTGCCTGGCTTCCTCCTGCTCCCCCTCTCCCCACTCCCTAGTCAAGCAGGGGTTCCCCACTCTGCTCTGCCTTATGCAGACACCTCTCAGCGTTAGCTAGCATACCACATGCTGGCTATGGTCTCTGCTGTGGGAGAAAGAGCAAAGGCAGGAAGCACAGTGTCTGCTTAGTGCTTTTTTGAGTTAATCAACAGGCAGTTGGTAATGTCCCTCCATTCCTTCCTTGGAAACAGTTGTTTAAGAAGAGCTTGAACTAATGAGAAATACTTTTGTTTCGCTTATGAGCTGATAAATGCTCCCTGTGTAACTCCCTCCTAAGTATGCTGTGTAAATCCCTGCTGGCTCCCTTGCTGACCAGCAAGGGGGGGACCCCTCCCTAATTAAAGCATCCTGCTAGGGCCTGGCCACACCCCACCTTAGCTCAGTGCAATGGAAGCGAAGGGAGGGCTGCTCTAGCATCCCCCAGCTTCTAGCCTGAGCCACTGCAGGCATGTGCCTGCATTTCTTCAGTCCAGAGGGGATGTCTTTACGGTTACAGACTGATTCAGCCTAGGCAGGTTAGATTAACGTGCAAAGATTGGATCAATTCAGGCTCAGGCTTTTTGAAAGTCTGTTCCTAGCCCTTCAGAGCCTGGCCCAGCCCCTGTGTGACTGCAGCAGGGGCCAAACTCCCACAGAGGCCAGGCTGGGCCAGGCTCCCTGGGTGTTCGGCCCCTGGCCTGGCTGAGACCTGTGCAGAGTGAGGGCCTGGTGGCATTGGGCTCCCAGCCGCTACCAGCCCTACACCTCCAACCCCCACTCCCTGAACAGCTTTACTGGCATGGCCCCCAGCTTCTGCAGCAGTCACAGTTTGTGTGTGTGGGGGGGCACTAAATCAATAAAAAAAAAAATTGCGCAAAATAAGGGGCAATCCTGACACTTTCAATTGATAAAAATTGAAACAAATGCTTAAAAATAAACATCAATTTTAGCCATCAAAATGAACCGCCTCCCCAAGCCTGTATATACTCATTTATTATTAGTCATGGGGTGTTTATACACGTGCTCCGGGGAGTGAGGGCTTTAATTAGAGCAGTTCCAAGAACCACTCTAATTAAAGCACCTGGAGCATCTCATGTATCAGTTTCCCCACACTGAAAAATGGGGGTGCTTGAACTAAAGCTCCTTGAACAAGCTTTAGTTAAGGCACCCTGAATGCCATTTTTCAGTCTGGGGATGCTGATACATGAGACGCTGAAATCTCTTGGAGTACAGCAATTAGCACTCCAACGTACTGTAATTACAGCATGTCAGAGCAGCCTTGTTGCACCTGTATAGGCGCCCATGGAGTGCTAGCCTTCAGAAAAATATACTCTTTCTTTTTAACCCATATTGTTTTTAATCATTGCCCTATTTGTTTGTAGTTGGTTCATATAATGATGTCTGAAAACTCTTTTTTTATAGCAAAAATACAACAATATCTCATGTTTCTGGGAAACTCAGCCTTTAGGCTGCGTGAGGATCAGTTGCATCTTTCATCATAGCAAACCACGTAATATAAATGGACTTTTTTTACCACCTAGTAGCAGTGAGTAAAAATATTTTCTCAGTAATTTAGACTTTCAAATAGATATGCTAAAGCATACTAGACACATGCTTATAGAAGGCCTATTTAGATGAAGAATTACAATATTTTCAGTGAGGTTAAATATGATCTCAGATCCAAGTTAGTAAAGGAGTTGCAACTATGTTACTAGGGTTGTCATACAGCTTTCTTCAGTCATGGTGTTAGGAATTTCCATAGCTAACAGTTATACCAAAGGTGATGTGCTCAATAACAGCTCAGTTATATGCCCCACAAGTGAACAATGAAGCCTGTTATGTTTTAAATGCTGCCTATCTTTGGATGTACTGTATGACTGTCATGTCTTGTTTGCAATGCTCAGTGATTGTGTATAAGAAGTCAAATACATTTAAGGATTTTGTTTTGTAGAAAAATCCTTCAATTTCTTACTGTTCCTGAAAAGTCTTCAGCATGCAGACATGTGTGTTGACTCCCAACAGCATAATGGTACTGCCAGAGGTCTTTGCAGGGCTTAACTATAGTACGTGATCTGGAAGTCAAGGCAATACAGTGCTTTTTTTTTCCCTACGGAGTATACAGTATTATTTGAAGGCACATTATGGTGCAATTTTACAGGATGTATTTTAGAGGCTATTCATTGTATAGCCCTGATTCACCGGTTAACCACTCATGCACACCAATTGGTTGTAATTATAAACAGTATTTGCTTACTGTAGCACCACATGTGCATAGCTCATCAGGTAGACTTTCTAAAACAACATCTAAAATCATCCATTCCATCTGTGTTTTTCATCTTAATATCAGAAGAACAAAACAATTTTTCCATTTCTGTCATCCAGTGCTGGCTGCTCTTCTCACATTACTGATCCAAATGATTTAGTTTTCAGTTTGAAGGGCGGAAGATATGTACGGTCAAGAAATGGGACAAATATTTTTGCATAAGTAGCCACAAGTCAATATATAAACAAGAATTCATCCGCCTTTGCATTGTTTGAGATTACAACTGGGATGAAAGTAGTTTTCCCATCCAGCAAAAATTATACAGATTTTTCTGTTCTGCTCCAAAAAAAACAAAGAGGTTTTGTAAGTTCCTTCCCCCAACACATACACAAAGCTAGAGACAGCCGTGCCAGAGTAGCACTATATCTAGGCAGCCAGAACACAGAGTAGATTCAGGACAGGAATTTGAAGCTGGATCACCCACGTGCCACCTAACTTTTATGCACCCGTGCCCCAAAGTAGAAGTCACAAATTTAACGTTGGTACCTATAATGAAAGAGGAGACTTAAGTGCCTCACAACAGGATTCAGAAGCACTATTACATTGAGTGGGGGACACTTAAGGATAGAAAATTCTGACAAGAGGATATATGTGAAATCCCTCTCTTCTTCCAAGGAGAGATCCCTTCCTGTAGGTGTCTAAATCATGTATGACTGACTTGCTCTTCACTTTTAAAATACAATCAGAGGTAGCAGTACAACCTTTTATATAATATCCTAGCACTTATGGCATATTCTTAGGTTGTAGTACAGGCCAGGTAGTTGGCCTTCAGCAGCCTCAGGGAGTTCAAACCCAGATGTCCCACCTGGGAGTATCTTTATCAGTCGGCTAATGACCTGGTCAACTCTCCTCTCCTGATGAAGTTTTGCTTCTCTGAAAAGTAAGTGTGGAATTTGTGAGTCAGAGAGAGAGAGAAATCAGAAGGGAGAATGAATCTGCAGCCCAGTAATGAGGGCACTCTCCAGTTTCTGGTCCCTGATCTCAATTTTTTTTCCTTATTATATCTAATGAGTTTATTGCAATGGCTCTCAACCTTTTTAGACTCAAGTCACCCCTTGATAGACTCAAAGCACACCTCAAAAATATCAGCTTTTATTTTTCACTTGTTTTTGACCACAGACAAATAATAGAGGTCATTTTCTGTTGCAAAGAACATCCAGACAGGTGGTCTTTTTAACATTCTGGATTCCCATTTAAAATCTTGTGGGCTTATCTTGTGACTACTATGCCATATGTTGAGCTAACTGCTGTCTGTGTGTGTTAGCTTTGATCTTGAGTGGAGGGATGTACTATTGGTGAGTCCCAAATGGTCTTTTTCAGTCTATAAATGCCAAGATGGTGGCACCTCTGGGTCAGAAGTAGTAGAATTTAAGCATCCAAGAAACCCATACTGGTGGACAAACTACCAACCTATGGCCTCCCAGTGGCAAATGACTTCTGGAAATCACCTACTTGAACATAGACTTCTAAATGGCACTTATGTGCATAAAATACAATTTAAGTACACTCTTGGATCCGGTCGTTAGCACTTAGAAATTACACTGATAACCACTAGAAAATGTTAAGATCCTAGATAGACTATATACAGTAGTTAGGAATTGCAATGAAAAAAACAGCCAGCTACAATTATTTATTGTTCTTGGCTAGACGTAATGTCACCAGCAGTCCACACTGGGGCATCGTATGGAAGAAGGGTCCACAAGGCATTTTTAATATTCCATTACATACATGTCAAATCTCACTCATTTGCAGGCAGAACAAAGTTCTACTGTTGCAGCCTGCATCCAGGTCATCTTTAAGTGCTCATCTTTTCTTTCTTGACTTCACTTAAGTTTTTTCCAGGCTGGGTGTTTTAGGAGAACATCTGAAGCAAATACCTCTTACCAATGATTTCTCTCTTACTCAATGGTTTCTGGAAGATGGACTGTTTCTGGGGAAAATGATAAATTCTTTCTCAAACCCTCCCAAGGACAAACTTATATTTCTTCTAATGGAGTTTGGTCTGGCTTTCAAGAGTGGGATCAACATGTATAGAACTGAAGTTACAGACAAGAATTCAGACTTTGTAGGCAAAACTACTGAATTTGAATTCCCAAAGAATACAAAGTTATTTTTTACAGATTAGATTGTATTGTGGAATCATAAACAATTAGGGTTGAAAGAAGCTGCAGGAGGTTATCTAGTCCAACCCCTTGCTCAGAGCAGGACCAACCCCAACTAGATCATTCCAGCCAGGGCTTTGTTGAGCCAGGCCTTAAAAACCACCAAGGATGGAGATTCCACTGCCTTTCTAGATAACGCATTTCATTACTTCAGCATCCTCCAAGTGAGAGAGTTTTTCTTAATATCCAACCTAAACTTCCCTTGCTGCAACTTGAGACCATTGTTCCTTGTGGCTGTCCTCTGCCACCACTGAGAACAGTTTAGCTTCATCCTCTTTGGAATCACACTTAAGGTAGTTAAATGCTGCTATCAAATCTCCCCCCCGTCTTCTCTTCTTCATACTAAGTACGCCCAGTTCCATCAGCCTCTCCTCAGAAGTCATGTGTCCTAGCCCCCTCACCATTTTCATTGCCCTCTGCTGGACTCTCTCCAACTTGTCCACATCATTTCTGTAGTGGGGGGCCCAAAACTGGATATAGTATTCCAGGTGTGCCCTTAACAGTACAGAAGAGAGCAGAATTATTACTTCCCTTCATATTCTGGCAACACTGCTACAGCTGTTGTTAGCCTTCTTGGCAACAAAGACACACTGCTGACTCTCATCCATCTTATGGTCCACTGCAACCTGCAGGTCCTTTTCTGCAGAGCTGCTGCTTAGCCAGTTGGTCCTAAGCCTGTAGCGGTGCATCGGATTATTCTGTCCTAAATGCAGGACTTTTCACTTGTTCTTGTTGAACCTCAGGATATTTCTTTTGGCCCTGTCCTCCAATCTGTTGAGGTTTCTCTGAATCCTAGCCCTCCCCTCCAGCATATCTACTCTTCCGCCCAGCATTGTGTTATTCGCATATTTTCTGAGGGTGAACTCTGCACCATCTTCTAGGTCGTTGATGAAAATATTGAACAAAACTGGCCCGAGGACCAACCCCTGGGGTATTCCATTTGATACCAGCTGCCAACTAGACATTGAGCCATTGATCATTATCTGTTGAACCCAATGATCCAGCCAACTTTCTGTCTACCTTACAATCCATTCATCCAACCCATACTTCCTTAGCTTGCTTGCAAAAATGCTGTGGGAGACTGTATCAAAAGCCTTGCTAAAGTCAACGTATATCATGTTCACTGTTTTCCCCACATCCACAGAGCCAGTCATCTCATCATAGAAGGCAATCAGTTTGGTCAGGTATGACTTGCCCTTAGTGAATCCATGCTGATCACTTCTTCTCCTGCAAGTGCTTAGAAATAGGTTCCTTGAGGACCTGCTCCATATTTTTTCTGGGAACTGAGGGGAGGCTGACTGGTCTGTAATTTTTTGGATCCTCCTTTTTCCATTTCTTAAAGATGGACAGTATATTTGCCCTTTCCCAATTATCTGGGACCTTCCCTGATTACCACAGGTTTTCAAAGATAATGGCCAGCAGCTCTGCAGTCACATCAGCCAACTCCCTCAGCACCCTTGGATGCAACGCATCTGACTCCATGGACTTGTACACATCCCGCTTTTCCAAATAGTCCCTAATCTGTTCTTTCATCACTGATGGCCGCTCACCTTCTCACCAAACTGTGCTGCCTGGTGCAGTAGTCTGGGGGCTGTGACCTTGCATGTGAAAACTGAGTTAAAAGGAATTGTGCCTCCCACATTTTCCTCCTCATCTGTCACTAGGTTGCCTCCCCCATTCAGTAAGGGAACCACATTTTCTCTGACCTTTCTCTTGTTGCTACATACTTGTAGAAACCCTTCTTGTTACCCTTCACATTCCTTGCTAGCTGCAAGTCCAGTTGTGCTTTGGCCTTTCTGATTTCATCCCTGCATGCTCAAGCACTATTTTTATACTCCTTAGTCATCTGTCCAAGCTTCCACTTATAAGCTTCCTTTTTGTGTTTAAGCTCACTGAAGATTCCCCTGTTAAACCAAGCTGGTCACCTGCTCTATTTGCTATTCTTCCTGTACGTTGGGATGACTTGTTCCTGCTCTCTCAGTAACGTTTCTTTAAAATACAACCAGCTGTCCTAGACTGCTTTCCCACCCCGACTGATCTCCCAGAGGATTCTGCCCATCA